GTCCTCTCGCAGTTCTTCACACTGGGGAATTGACTCAGGAACTTACTGAGGCAGGGTGCCAAAATTTAAACCTTATGAGTAATCCAAGGTGTTCGCATGAAGATGTGACAAGAGCAGCTTGCATATTTCAAGCTAAACATGTGCTGCAGAAAGAGGTGAAAATCCCTCATTCTAGGAGTGTGATGAGGGCATTAGGTACATTTCAGTCATAGTTTTATATTCCTTTCTTGTACTTTATTTGACAGTGATCTAAATCAGAGGGTTTTTTTCTAAGTGTTTTCTATGAGGAAATCCTTCCATGTTTCAGCTCTAGATCTTTCTTGTTTGTGTTATACATCTTTTGAGAGCTGGTGATTCAAACTATGTTTGAGGTCAGGGAGAGAGGCTGTGTACACAATGGCATTTTAGCACTTTCAGTTATGTTTTCTAGCCTCTTCCTAAGAGTGATGTAGTCTCTGTTGGACACCAAGACCTTGAGGTTACAAGGGAATTTGGCACAAGACTCAGGGAACAACTCTCTGAATTTCCCTTTAGAGGTGTTCTTTTCTCAGCACACCTCATTTCTGTCTCAATGAGAAGCCAGTTTGCTTTCACCAAGGTCTGCTGAACTTTTTACAGTTTCCTTAGGGATTTACATATATAATATACAGAAAATATGACTGTAGCTAGGACAGGAGGTGGTACAGAACAACACTACTTATGTATTTCTGGTGTGGAAAGAAGGATGCTCTGTCAATCTCAAACCACAAAAGGGATTCAGGAAGAAGAATGCAATTTCTTTTCTCGGTAACTCAGCCAGACAAGCAAGGCTAATGAGCGTTTTCCTACTAAATGCAGACTGGAATCCTTCACTGTCGCAGACTGATGTGGTCTTCACTTAAGCCCTCAGTCCTTGGGGTGCTATCAGACAGAGGCAGGGTGTTCTCTTCCTAGCACTTCATGAAAAAGTAGGACAGGTAAAGGAGTATTTTATCATGTTCACTGCTCCTCATGGCACCTGGTCACTGTTTGACCATCTCCATTTCAGGTTAGCCAAAGGAATTCAAGACTGATTCTTCAGCTAGGATACTCAAACACTTTTAGGCCTCACACAGGAAGAATCTCCTGTGACTTTCCGACAGATGTGGATGCCTGAAGATCAAACTTGGAATCTCACAGTAAAAAAAGGAAGCTCCTAATTATGTCCTGCTCCAGGGAATTCTGGTTTCAAAGAGGTCCATTGCTCAGTGCAGGATGGAGTAGCACTCTGGAGGTATGGAACAGCCTTTTTTTCCCACTTAGTGTTTGCAGGGATACATGCACCTCTCAGAAACACAGTGTTCAGAATCAGGCAGATGAAGTGGTGGTGTCTCTGGTGAGCTGTGGCATGGTATCATCAGGGACAGAAGATCCTGATGAAGAATATTTTAAATGCAATCAATCTCTATGACTTAAGACAAAAAGCATCATTCACACTCACACACATCCAACTGACAGGGCCTGCAAATACCCACACAAGAGCCCATCCAGATGGATCCTTTTGCAACGACTGCAAACATACTAAGAAGGAAAGAATTTCAGTTCTTCTGTTAGCCTGAAAACACATGAGCTTTTAGAGGAATTATTAGTATTCTGAACATATGGCAACTCCCTGCATTGCCTGGGGAAGCTCTTGGCTTTCCAGTAGAAAAGCTGTTAAACCAGTAATGGGGGACTGGGTGTATCAAGTGTTTATGAGTCTCCCATCTGTAGGCCAGACAGAAACATCTCACCCTGAGTGTTTTGCAGTATCATCAACCCATCTGCAGAACTGTCTGTTTGACCCCGGGTATGTGATGGACTTGGCAAGAAGCAAGGAAGAAACAGAGGTGGTGGGGGGGAGTGAGAGGTGAAGAAAGGAAGATGGGTGCAAGAGGAAAAGATCTAAGGTGAGGAATATAAATAAGCCTGTTCAAATATCATAGAAGTGACATCATGACATTTCTTCACCCAAGTCCTTCACCCTCAAACTCATAAACTAATTAGAGAAGTGTATTTTACAATTCCCTCACCATACTACATTAAAATCCATTTTTTCAGCTGGTCTGGCTAAAGAAGAGGACTCCAATCACATGTTTGCAGGGGAAAGTGTTAGTGCATGGGATGGTCAGCTATGATCTGGAGGGACACAGTTTTCACTGGTGAAGGAAATAAACAGCAAAGTAATTTTGGTTTTATGTTTTTAAATTTCCTTCTTTTTGGCTTTGGGCAGTGTTGGACTTCCCACCCTCTGCAAGGCTGTCAGCCTGAACCATGTGGACATCTGGCATGTAAACAAATTACAGCCCAGGCAAATACTGTCTTGTAGTTAAGTTTGTCAGTCTCTCCATTTTGCTTGTGCTTTCTTTCTTCCTTTCTTCCTTGCTTTCTTGCTGTCTTGCCTTCTTTCCTGTTGCTGCAGCACCTGTCTTTGTAATAAATTAGTGCTCCAGCCGCCTTCAATTCATTCCAGAGGGAAAGAGCTGGAAGGTTACAGTGTGATGACACCCCCAAGGCTAACAGCTAGGCTCATAAAACATGTTATCAATAAAGCATTTCAGTTTTTATGATGGAAACCAATCTCTCACAGTCAGCCATGGGGTCTTAACTACAATTTCATTTCTATTAAAATGGCACTGACCATGACAGTATACGGTCAATATATTCTCAAGACACTTTATATATATATATAATATATATTATATATATAAAAAGTATATATTCTCAACACGCTTCCCAACATGCTTTAAGTGGCAGGGATGTTTACAACAGCTTGTGAAATCACTGACAGCTGTAAATACCACACAGCCATCCTCACTCTTTTCTGATTACTGAAACAATGATTCTGGGAGGGAGAGAGAAGTAGATCCAATGGATTTCAGAAGTTAGGACAGCTCAGAGTCCTCCTTCAGCTTTTATTTTGTTCTACAGTTTATGTGTGAGACACAATTCTTAAAAAAAAAAGAGAAGTGATGTGGGCAAAGGCCTCCTTTTATTGAACTGTAGCATCAGTGGTAACACTAGTGCCTTTTAGAGACCATTTCCAGGAAAGAGGGAATCACTTGTAGCTGTTTCCCAGCCTGATCTGCCCTTCTTATTCCTTAAAAGACATTTCCCAGCCTTACCTTTTGCACAGAATGGATCTTCTGTCTTTGAAAGTGAGACAGAGAGTAAGTGCATCACGTTTAAAATGGATGGGTTTATTTATACAAATTGGCATTCATGAAGTTCTTTCCTAAGTTAACATTAGACTATTCAATAAACTTCATAAGCAAAACAATAACCCTTATAAAGAGAAGGGACAGAAAAAATGTATAGAGATACTGAGCAGTGAGAACTGTGAAATGTAACTATCAGGATTTCAGAGATCTAACAAGTGCTGAGACTGCCTTCCATGTCATAAAGAAGCAAGCTTTGAAGATAGATTTCAAGGAGGATAACACCACCAATTTGTATTTTCATCATGGACTCCTTAAATGTATGTGGGAGCAAAATATGAAAGGAGATGGCTGAAAATGTGAAAAAGCTTTATACAGCAGTTGATCCTCTTTCATAATTTATTTATTAAAAAAAAATTAAATTATTTGAGGCCATGGTTGCTGCCAGGCTCACTGCTGGCCCTCCCATGTGCCCAGTGCACCCTGGCAGTCTTGGCTTGGCTGTGAATTCCAGCTGAGCTGGGGAATTTTAAGAACTGAACAGTATGCATAAGGCAACCAGGAGAAATGTGGATTCATGTTGGCCTTCCAGATCTTCAAAGTACTGCATGGGCTGAGGTTGATGCTGGTGACTAATTTGGAAGTAAATCTGATTCATTGCTGGCAGGGTTTCTGTCTGGAACCAAGGAAAGTTGATGAAATGTGAGTTTTTGACTGATTGTTAATGGAAGAGGTAGAATAGGTGATAGTAAGAGATACTTCAGGATCTTGGGATGACTTGTTAAGAGATCAGGAGTGCAACTAGTGTTCTTGATCCTTCTACTTGGAGGCAATGATGAGGAAAGAAACTGGAAGAGCCCAGCAGATCAATATCTGGCTCTGAGCCTGGTGTCACCAGCAGCATTTTGGTTTTTTTGATAGTGGGTCAGTTTACATGGCATCAGGCCTGCTGGCAACACCCAAGGTACACCTGTCTCAAAGGGGTAGAAGGATCTTTGCACAGAAGTTAGCAAGGATCTAAAAGTCTTTTCTAACTGAAATGATTCTATGATTCTGTGATCTAATCCAAAGAGGGTAAGTAAGACTTGCCCAGATCTGCCTTTTCTTCAAAACTGCCACTTTTATGTATTGCAACAGCAGAAGAGCTAACTTTTGGTCATGGAGAGTGAACTTAATTTGCTTCTTTTTGCTGAGGTTTCAAGATGAAGTCTCATTTCCAGTGGGTGGAGTGGTGATACATATATATTGCATCTACTACATCCAAGCAGAGAACCTCCATTTCCAGGGCTGTCAACTGAACCTTCTTCACACTATGGAGAGCACTTAATAAATGCAAAAAAAAAAAAAAAAAAAAAAAGTGAAATGTGATCTTGCTGGAATAGGGAGGCATCCAAAAGGACTGTGCTTTGGGTTGTACAGCCTTCACAAGGAGTCAGAACAAATATCCAGACTTCAATGTGAGACCAAACAGAGTTGTTCAGTCCCTATGGAGATGAGATGTAGAACTGGAGAATGTAAACAGATGTGGAGACATTTTGATGCATTTTTGAAAAGACAAATGACTTTCATGCTGCTATATTTTAGAGTTCACTCTATCTCCTTATCAAAAATATGATGCAAAAAGCAATAGTCACTTCATTTCCATTTCTCAATCTGTCTGGAGAGCAAAAGGCACAGTCATCTTGTAGATGAGTTAACAACGGTGTCTAACAACTGTTGGGAAAGGCTTGGAGAGATTAAGACACCAAAGAAAAGGGAAAGAACTATCAAGAAAGTAAGAGTCTGAAGGAAAGCACCATGATAGATCGAGATCTTGAAATAGTGTGTGTTTATATATTATTGCAGGTGGGTTGATTAGCACATGAGAGATTCCAGCACAGCCTCATCCATCTGGAAAAGAGAATGCAAATGGTGAGTATCCAACTAACCCCATATGGATATAAACATTCCATTGAAACAAGAATCTATAGGATACAAAAAAAGGTGGAATTTCAGCATAATAATCTCATGACCCTTTTTTTTTTTCCAGAGGAGATTCACTCCATGGAAAGGGCAAGGATCACTAAAAGGCTGGAATATTCTCAGCATCCTTGGAGCTGACTTCTGTGGGTGAACAGAGGGTGCCAACAGCCAAGAGTGTCTTTGCAGCTATGGGTGTGATGGGAGGGCCCCTTGTTGAAGGATATCTCAACCAGTTTCAAGTAACCAGTGTGGTCTGTTCAGGTCAATATTATGGACAGCAATAAACAAGAGGACACTGTGTCTCATCAGTCTCATGGATATAACTTTCTGCTTACAGCTGTATTTGGCAAAGGCCTGTAGGTGGTTATGGACTTTGAGTCAGTGGCTGGGCTTGGATGGAAGCCCTCTGGCTTGCAGTCCTGCACTCTAACCATCTAATCTCTCAGCCCAGAGGAAATTGCGGTGTCCCTTTGGGCCCTTGGTAAGACACCACAGCTTTGTTTGTTGAGTGCTTAGCTTTTGATGGGGATATTTGAAGGTTTCACAGATGGCAGTCTGTGATTCTCTGCCCTTTTTCTACCTGGAGGCTGCCAAAGGATGGCAGCAAAGAGGCAGGCGTTAGAGGGACATTGGGATATGAGAAGAGGGGGTATGCGCAGAAGATTTGCTTTTTCTGTGAAAGAAAGCCATACTATCTTGGAAAACAAATTATCTGGAATACAATATTTTCTATAGTTTGGTGCTGCTAAAAAATGCTGCACTGGCATCTCTGCAACACGATAGCCCAAAGCAAGAACACGGTTTGTTATTACATGTGTGGCCAGGAGGATTCGTGGTGGTGGAGGAGACGTCCTCAGCTATGGCTGAGTATTTAGTTTCCATGTCCCTTCTGTCCTAGGATAGCAGTCAGCAATAATTACTTTAGTGGTTTCTACCCTGCAATTCATAACCTCTAGGCACTATACTCAGCTCCACAAATTTCTTCCATGCAGGCCCCTTGTAGCAGGATGATGATTTCTACTCTCTGCTGAGCTTGGTGTAGATTCACGTGGGAAAGCTGGAGAAGAAATGCCAGTTCACTGGAGTGACACTGAAAGTGCCAGGCCAGCTTTTGGTAATGAGCCTCCAACATTTGGAAACAATCCTGAAGTGACAGAGTAACAAACATAATGATCGATCTGAGACATATGATTTAAAGAACTACCAGGCCACCAGATCTAGACAGGAGAGGAAAACTGATCACTGATAACAACTTTTATTGACAGGAGTGTTAAGAATATCTCCTGATGACACAAGAAGACAGCCTGTGTCCTTTAAATCTGTTGCAAATTCCTATTATCTAAGCGTGATTTTCTTTAGAACAAGAAAAGAGGCACTTTCTTTTTGTTTTCTTGTTTAACAGAGCTCCTGTGCCTGACATAATCTTTACACTTGCCTCCCCAGTTAAGTATCTTTTTTCTTTTCCTTCCCTGGTGTTTGCATGAACTTGGTGAACCCTCATCACGTGTGGCAGTGTTTATATTTGCACAGGCTGTTCTGCGTGTCTCTGTTTGTGTTGCCACCACATCTATATGGCTTGGCAGCAGCCCCACGGCTGTGTTTCAGCTGCATATAAATCAGCTTCCCTCCATCCCCCGGTGTTTCCATCTGTCTGTCTTCCCTGATTGCTCTGAAATGTTACAGGGCATGGAGGTTAACCCATGGCTGAACCCTTCAAATAGAGGTGGGACAAAATAAAACCCGAACTTCTCCTCCACAAACTCAACTCTTCAAGTTATGAAGGTGTGGGTTGTTTGTGTTTTTGAAGGGAGAGGAAGCACCTTAAAATAAGGACTAACCCCTGCTAATATAGTGTAGTTTTCAAGTCTTTTACTTTGGAGGAAAGTTGCAGAAGCTCTGAGGTCACCTCTGGACTGTGGAGCTGATCATCCCTTAGACCTGCATTACATGAAGTTGCCCCTGCCTCAAACAGATTTAATTTCTGCTCTTTCATTAATGATCACCTCTGGTTTCTTAAGTTATAGATTATTAGTTTGCTTCTTTCATTCAGGAAAGAGATATGAAGAGGGTCCAAAGACTGATGCATGAGGAGCTGGAGGTGCCTGGTCATCCAGGAAAAAAGGTGTCAGACAGAAACTGTAAACATTTACAGTTTCTGTCCATGTATAAAGACATCTCTCCAGGGATCTCCTCCCAGACAGAGTTCACAGTGCAGCTGACTGAATTGCAGTGAACCCCAGAAATAAAGCTCTGGCCTGCTCAGAGTGTCCACAGTTTTCTCTTGGCCAGGTCTGTTCTCTTGGAGAATGGACATCCCAGGGGAACAGAAATGGAGCATATCCCTTTGCCCATTGGCACTAAATGGCCAACCCAGTAGAGGTGAAGAGAACTAAATGGGGAGTGTGTACTGCTCTCAAATACCAGAATTGCCCATTCCAAGAAACTGAGAAACACTGATAGGACAAAGACCTGGTAAAGGAACAAAATCCCCCTGGTGTGCTTCAGTCAGGTGTCAGATGTAAAAAACAACATTTTCTCACCATCATTGAATTTGTTTGGTACTCTGCCTTTCTTCTGAGCATAAAACTGGAACCAGGCTCTTCCCTTCTACATGTAAGATCTAGGTGTGTGCATGGATACCCTAGCTCTTGAAAGAAGAAAGTCCCAACTACCTTATCTCAGAAGCATTGTAGACTAAATAAGAAAAATAGTGGATAAACTTGAATTGGTCTCCCACATCCCTCAGAGTCTTCTTCACAAAGGAGAATATGTCCTTACCTAGGAAAAATTGATTAAAAATCATGTGTGACTGGGGGTTCCTACCTCTTTCCAGCCTTCTCTCAAATTGGACAGTGTTTGGGCTTTGTGCTCTAGTTTTTCTTAGCTCTCTGGCTCCAAACTTGAAATCTGCAAAAGTTATGTCAAGTTGGATCTAACGTTTAATTTTAATAGATTCCAGAGAATAATGGGTAATGCCTGTTTTGGTACACAGATAAATCCTTAGTAATAGGATTTGTCCTATTACTACATCTGTCTAACAGTTCTTTGTTACTAAATCTTTGTTGGAGACTGGGGGTGGCTGTGATTTAATTTTTGATGGGAGTAACTGATTTAGAAGTTCAGGAAAGGCAGATATCCCTGTGACATAAACATCCCCTCCCATTGCATTTCTAGCTGAAAGAGAGAATCCTAGATTGTTTTTTAATATTGCTGATGTCCCAGATGCATGTCTGAGTAGATGTCATTAAAAATCAGACTTGGAAGAAACCTTGGACAGTATCTATCCACAGAAATCTCATAGAACCAGTGAGGTGTTGATATTAACCAGAACATTACCATGGAAGTTCCTAGGAAGTCACAGAAAGCATAGGCTGACCACTGAAAACAGGTATGAGACAAGCGCTTGACAATGTTTATATTATTTTTTCATAGAAAAAGTATTAAGGAACCAACTGAGACCTATACTGACATATCTATATTTAATTCGTTATTTTAATTTTTTTTTAATGCTGGATTATAAATTTTAAGTCATTGTTGTACAGTCTGTGAAACAATGCAAGAACAGGACATGACTGGCAGTACAGGGCTAGATCCATTGGGATTCAGCATTTAGAAAGTGGAAGAGAAGCAATCAGGTGTCAAAAGACAACAGTAAGTTAGATCACAATGAAGAGACATCCTTCCCACCCACTGGGGACTTTTCTGCTTCTCAGAATGAGATGCAGCTGTTCAAGCCTTAGAACAGAAAAAAAAGTGCAAGAAAAGATTGATCTGGACACAAATCCCTGGCAGGGACTGGTGAGGATAGAAATCTGGAGAGTAAGAGTGCTGTGTTATAGCCAAGTTGGGGGTTGGGAGAAACATTCCCTGCAGAAGGGATACAGAGATTGCTACTGAGATGCTGAGATTGAAGATTTTGCCAGGAGTGGAAATAAAAGTTGTTTGTGCCCCTCAGACTAACTCCAGGAGCTTCACTCATGCCTGAGAGTATTGGTCTGTGGGCTGAGTTTTTTCAGATGGACATGGCATTTACAGCTTTGGCTTTTTCATGTTCATGCACTTTATAAAGCTGTGATCATATTTTATTGGACTTTTGTAAAAAAGACTCTTAAGTCTAACAAAATTCCAGCAGAACTGAAGAGGCTGAGATAGAGAGACATGCAATAAGGCAGAGGCAAGAGGAGGAACTCGAGAGGAGGGTAAGGCAGAAATAAGCCCTGATAGGAAACTTCTTAGACAAAGCTGAATATGGGGCAGAGCTGAGCCAGAGCAAGTATTGATTTATACACTTTAAATTAATCCATAAACTAAAGGCAAATGTACAGCTTGATTAACACTCTACACTCCCCTCCCCCAAATCATACTCAGCTAGCCCCTGCTTGAACCTGGAGCAGAATGCAATACCAATCCACTATGCCAAGCATCCCACCAGAGGCATCCCATTAGCATTGCTGTGGATGAGAAATGAAGGGGAGGTGCAATGCAATTAAAGGTGACAGAGAAGGAAACATTTCCCTTTCTGTCCAACCTAGGGAATTCAGTACTGCAGATAATTACTGAAATACCTTCCAGAACAGGAGAGGCTATAACAGGAGAGGCCATTCAGATATAACCAGTGGTATAGGTAGTGTCCCTAAGAGGGATATGCTGTCATAGGGAAGGGAGTAAACATTAATATCCACTGTGCTTAGAAGGGAGTTTCCCTCTCCTGCAGAGTTTGGCAGCAGATATTAGATTCCTTCTCCCTCATTTTGAGGTCCTACAGTCCAAGTTTAGAGGAACTGGGCAGTGCTCTAAAAGGCTCCTTCTAGTCTGCAGTGAGTTTGAAAGTGTCATTCAGCTCACACTGGGACTGATGGTGGGGCATGGGTGCAGCCACAGCACCAGGAGGTGACCTCATTCCCAGGGAGAGGACAGCAGAGCAGCTGGGTCACTGAAGCCAAATACTGCAAAACTAAATTTGCTCTCATAGTCCATACAGCATCCACACATTTGCATACACCCACCCTGAACCCAAGCCCCTGGAACTCTTTTGGAGAAGAACAAACAAACAAAAAAACAAGCAAACAAGCCTAAAAGCTACAACTTGCAAGGTGTCAAAATCCAGGAAATATCTGGCATGGAATGTTTGTCTCATGTCCTTCCTATAGCAAGAAATGTTAGAAAAATGTTCTGGTCCTCCAAAGAAGTGGGCTGTGTGCTCTGTGCAGCATGGAGAGCCAGC